AGTCACCGAGAGAGAGGATATTTATATTCATTTATCAAGTAAAGACACCTCACTCAGATACTTCCCCATTTTCCCTTTTCTCCTCTATGATTTTACTCACCTACTTGATCTCCGTACCCTCTCTAAAACCAAGATAGTCATTCTTTCCTCCTATCTGTCAACGTTTAAAGAAGCATTCCACTGCACTGAAGTCCAGTTACAATGCAATGATAAGTGTCAAGGCAATACTAGTAAAGATGAGCTCTTAAAGAGGAAGGGCCTAGTAAACATAGCAGCAGTTGAGCTAACTCTTTGGCTCAACAATATTTATTGAAGCCAGATCAACAGGCGACACTAACAATGGATCATGTGTCTGAAATTGCACACAGTCTTGTTTCATAGACCTGGGCATCCTAATGGTATTCATTAAAATGCTATTTTACCTCTATCTCATTTTTCTCCATTGTAGAGACTCAAGAGTAGGAGATTTCCCTCCAATTTGAAGACGCTTTGCACTCCAAAACGGTCATAACTAGTTTGATTCCTATAATTGGACAGCATAAAATTTCTTGCATGCAAACACCATAATCATATTTTGTTTTCAACAAAGAACCATCTGTTTTATAAAGGATGTACTCCCAGGCATGCAATATTTCATTTAGATGACGTGGTGTTGCCATATTTTCCTTGCCATTTGAACCATAGTCATTGCAAGTGTAAAGTCCACAGCCTTGTATTGCAAAAACATGATCTCCTTTTCCAATATGAGTTTAGAAGCAACATGTCAATATTTTATTCATAAAATAACATAGCAAATGTGGTAGTAATTAAAACAGTTCAGCGTAGAGCCAACTACACTGGCAGATGGTGAAACTTCTTTACTGACAATCTTCAAGCAAAAGCCCTAAAGTCAAAGATGTTTACTTGGAGAAGACAATGGCCATTCTAATCATCACTTTTCCCTCCAAGTTTAATTTTCAATAATTCTTATTTTTAAACACCATAATTTCATTCAGTTAACATTTGAGCTATTCTTGGAAAGTACTATGAGAGGTAATGCCTAACATTTGTCACATATATTACCTCATTTTCTTCTCTTCAAGGTCTTATAAAATGGGTATCATCATCTTCATTTTACAGATGGAGAGACTGAGGCTTAGAAAGGTAAAGTACCTCTTCCAATTGAGTGTCAAAGTAAAGATTTAATCCCACGTCCAATATGACTACACTACTGCTATCCTGAAGTGGTAGGCTACAGGTCATAGTCAAAACCATATGATGAGTTTGTAGCCAAATCATAATTTTTGGGCACAGACTTTTGCCACATACAACAAAATTTCTCCATCCTACTTAAATTCTGTGCCATGTATCACTTATGACAAAGTTCTATATTAAACAAGAAATTGATAGGTAATGAGGAGAACCATATTAATATCTTGCTACAAATGAAACTCTGTTCTCTAGTTCTTAAGTAATCATACTGTTCAAAAGCATAATTAAATGTTTGATGTTAAAAAATCAGCTAAAAAGGAAAAGTAAAGCCTTACCATTTTAATTTTTTTATTTCTTTTAAAACTGCACATACCAATTAGTGAAATGTTTTGTGTGTATTTGTGTGTGTGCATGTGTGTATGTAATTTGTAAGAAGTCAGTTTTTAGTCTTAAATTTCATATTTATGTCATTCCTTTCCATACTTTCAGGAACACAGCTGAAAATAGTACACTATTTTCCTGATAGAAGTCAGAAAACTGTAAAATGAGATGGCTCATTGCAGTGTATATATTATTTCAGAGCAAGATGAGGAAACATAATGCCAGAAGCATGCACTAGAAGTGCTATTTCTGTATAAAAATAATGAAATGTCAGAATCAAGAAGAATCCCATAAATCACTATTACTCTCTTCTGTATCTCAGTTTATTACATGAAGTGCATGCCGCTCTGGGTCTGCGACCTTTTCCCCTGTTAAACGTATGGTTGACTCAATTGACACAATTCTACTGTCCCACAAAAACACACACGCACACACATCTTATCCAAATTACATGATTTGGTTTTTTCCATTATTTGACCTTTCCTTAGCTGATATTCTTGTTTATAGTTTCAAGGTTTTGAAAGCCGGCTTGACTTATAAAAGTACTTGCCTTTCGGCGAACAAAATAAAGCAAGACAATTCTTTCCGAACATTTTATTGTATTTATATCTCATCTTGTTCCAAACCCTATTTGAAAGGACTTACAAAATGATGTATAGTTATATGACAATATTAAAAAAGACAAAAAGAGCCAAAGCAAATAAGAATAACAAAAGGGAAGACTTAATAAAAGTGGAGATGATCGACCACTTTGTACCTATTATTTAAGATTATAAACAAAAGAACGGACTCCAGACAAATATGCCCTATTAGTTTTATTGTATTGGATGCTCTCCCTGCTTGTGGCCCTTTCTCACTTATTTCATACGAAGCCTTTCTAGAAGGATGCCAGGTTAACAGCAGTGAGGTAGGAATGAGCATGATTTATTGAGCACCTTCCCTGTGCTACACCCAAAACATTACTCATTAAATTTACTCACACTCTAAGCTGAATTAAATTCAGCTAGTGGACATTTCTGTACACTATTTTCTCCCCTCCCCCGACTTATTCCTTGCGTGCCCTGTGATTATAAATCCTTCTAGGGTAAGGGCAAGATAATTTACTCCTTTATATTGCCCATATTGCCAATGTTACCACTCCCACCCACTCAAAAAAAAAAAAAAAAAAAGAAAGAAAGAAAGAAAGCTTTATTACTAAGGCAATATGTGAGAAAAGCAGGCTTTGACCATCTTTGTTGTTATGTGTGTGTGTGTGTGTGTGTGTGTGTGTGTTCTATTCCAAGCCCACTCATTAGGGACCCTCAATCCCAATCTGAAACCTTGTAAATAAAATAAGGCTTTGCAAGGAGAGTTGAGAGGGCTTGTTATGGGTTGAATTGTGTCCCTCCCAAAATTCATATGTTGAAGTCCTAACCCCCAGTACTTTTACAGAGGTAATCAAGTTTAAAATGAGGTCACTAGGGGGGACCCACATCCAATATGACTGATGCTCTCTAAGAGCAGGATATTTGAACACAGACACACACAGGGAGAAGACGGCCTTCTACAAGCCAAGGAGAGAGACCTGGAACAGATCCTCTCCTCATGGCCCTCAGGAAGAACACACACTGCGGACACCCTGATCTGAGACTCATAGCCTCCAGAAATGCGAGGCGATCCATTTCTGTTCTCCAGACCATCCCGTCTGTGGTGTTTTGTTATAACAGCCCTAAGAAACCAATGCAGAAGTTCTTTTGTTTGTTTTTCTTCTTTGTGTTTTTTAACCTGAAGCAGCTAGGTATTTTTTGAAGATGTCTGAATTCATGGAGATAAGAACTGTATATGCTTCACTTCTCGTATCTATATGTTGCACACTGTTAAGAGTATGTTCACACAAGGGTCTGATACCAATGTTTAGTTCCTACTCACTGATGAATGGGTAGTCATCTTTAACCATTGTTTCTAGATGTATAAAATATACAGTACCATCATCATCAAGAACATTTTGTGGAAGTTTTACTGTGTGAGTTACTGTTCTAAGCACCTTGTGTTACTTCATTTAATCCTCACAATTACCCTAGGTGAGAAACACTGGTATTTGCTTCATACCTTGCTGCTTTGCACAGTACCTCTTTCTTCAGGCCTTGGCTGGTAACTATAGAATGTTCTTCCCTTAGGTACTGGGCAGAAAGTACATTCCTTTAAGAACTAATGTTTGGTAGCAACTTTTCCCAGAGCCTCTTATCCTCTGCAACTTATCCTACGAAATGCTGAGTATAAACTTTATGAGCTAATGAAAGTTTTTCATAAGAATACAGGTCTTGGGGTGCCTGGGTGGCTCAGTGAGTTAAAGCCTCTGCCTTTGGCTCAGGTCATGATCCCAGGGTCCTGAGATTGAGTCCCACATCAGGCTCTCTGCTCAGCAGGGAGCCTGATTCTCCCCCTCTCTCTGCCTGCCTCTCAGCCTACTGTGATCTCTCTGTCTGTCAAATAAATAAATAAAATCTTCAAAAAAAAAAAAAAAAAGAACACAGGTCTTTATCATTCATAGATCCACTTATTTCAGAATCATCTTGGCTACTCATTTAAAATTTCTCTTTCCAGGGCCCTATTCCAGACCTTATGAGTTAATTTTTGTTGGTAAGGCCCTGAAACCTGCATCTGTAAACGAGCTTCTTGGGTGATTCTTCTACACCTTCAAATTTGAAAAGGATGGCCTATTTTGAATATGCCATCTGTGTTTTCACGAAATATTAATTTAATTGATTAATTAATGGAGACCTTGCTTAGTCATCATACTGGAAGAGCATTTAAAAATGATAAAAGGATAAACATAAAATCATAATAAAATTTTAAAAATCAACGTGTCTTTAAATGGATTACGTGCTTTGGGAAGACAAGGAGGAACACAAGCATTAATAATCAGCAAATGAGCCAGGAAACATCACTAATCCATCTGCTTTATATTAAATGTCTCATTAAGAAGGATAATGTCCACTTATGGTTACTGACCCCATGGATTTCACCAACTATTTCATAATGCTGCATTCCAAGTTACAAGTTCAGAGCATATATTGAAAATGAAACTTAATGGATCAGAAAGAAGAAAAGAATTAATTGTAAAAAGATATGACATTCTCATTATTTTAGGAACTTTTCCATCAACTTGATTTTTTAGAAGTCAGTAGATTTATAGGAAAGACCAAACACTTCTAAGTTTCTGATTGGTGACAAGACATGGCACGTTGTGTTTGCCAACCTCTAAGACACCCTCCATGATCCTCACCTCCTGCTGTTCATACTTTTGTCTAGTTCTTGCTGGTGTTGAATAGGGCTGACATGTCTAATCATAAGGTATTGCAAAAAATGATGGAGTGGGATTTGTAAACTTATGTCATAAATAACGTTGTGGTTTTCCTCCTGTTTTCTCTTTTGGATCACTTACTCAGGAGGAGGCCACTGCCATGGTTCAGGGACAGTCAAGTACCCTATGGAAAGACCCGTGTGAAGAACTGAGGTTTCTTGTCAACAGCCGATGCCAACTTTCTACTCATTTGAGTGAGCCATCTTGGAAGCAAAGCCTCCCAGCCCTGGTCATGCTTCCAGATAACAACAGCTTCAGCTGCCATCTTGTTTGCAACCTCATGAGAGACTGCAAACCAAAATATTGCATCCAAGCTACTCCTGAATTCCTAACCCACAGAAATTATTTGATGTAGCAAATGTTTGTTCTTGTTCTAGGAAATGTTGTTATATAGCAATAGATAATTAATATAGATATAAATGTGATAACCTCAAGGATGTTTAGAAAATGCTGGAATAGCATTTGACACTATTAATGTTTCCATTCTTGCTTAATCCTCCAAATCCAGCTCCCATTTTTACTTTTACATTATTTTTTGTTTGTTTGTTTGTTTGTTTGTTGATTTTCAGATAGCTCCTTCTCAGTCCTCTTTGCTTTCCTCTTTCTCCTCCTATCTCCACTGCATGACCACTTATCAGATATCTACTTTTCTCATGAGTTCATTCATCCCATACCAAACCATCTTTACGATGAGGATAGTTTACAGTCTTCAGTGCCTCTTTTAGGTTACGGTATGCAGATGGAACTTGGACACTTCCACTTAGATGTTCAAAGTCAATATATCTACAACCAGATTTGTCTTTTTTCTTTAGAATTATCCTCTTCTGAGTTCACCTGCATTAGTGGGGCCATGCTTTCTACATTGAGAAACCCTCAAACTACTAATTCCCTAACTCTTCATTCGTTTGTCCTTTGACTTGATGTTCTATCTTTAAATTCTATAAATGTATGCTTCATAACATCTTTAAAAGTCTCTGCTTTTTTCATTCCTCTTACCTGACTCACTGCCAGATATTTGTGAGCTGATAATTACAATAACCCTATGAGGTAATAATTTCACTAACCACCTTACCTACTCTTGACTCCAGTATCTCTTCACTTCCATCCATCATGCACAAGACTGCTGAATTAATCTTTCTAGACACTACATCCATTCCTTTTCCACTTACAGATTGTCGATGGTACTTCCTTATCCTTAATTTTACCTTCCCCACTGCCTTCTCTAATTACTGCATTATTTTAATACTTCTCAAGTGAGCTGGAATTTTATTTCCACTCTCACATGCCAACTACAGTTTCTCCTCCATATATCTTGCCCAGTCCATTCCCCACTCACTAATGACCTCCTTTGTCTCTCTCCTATCCATACTTAAATCTTTGTAATGTGTCACAACCCAGCTCAAGTCTTGAATTTCTAATAGATTTTCTCTGATCTCTCTGGCTCATAAAACGTTACCAGCATATATATTCAAAAGCACAATGAATAGAAAAGCAATATTAGCCTGGAACGAAAAGGGAATGACACTAGTTATAAAAGTTCTCTGAACTACTATTATACTTGCTACTTGTTGCATTTATTTAGCGACAAATAACATGTATCTTTGTATTTTCTACCAATGAAGATTTAGCTTAGCAGGAATCAGCTGAAATAAAAGGAGATTACTTCAAATCTCTGGACCTTTCATAATGCCATCTAGAATTATTAATGAATGTTGGTCACTAATTAACCAGATTTTGCCAAGATGATTGGCTCAGAGTAAATTTGTTACAATTTAAAACAGAAAGAAAGTGGCATTGTGTGTGGTTGTTTGTTTTTCTGGCCATTGTGCAATAGTGTAACGCTTAATTGATTAAATTATACTTTCTACACAATACTTTATTAATAAAAGAGAGCACTGTTCTTGTTCCCTTAAAATTAAAATAATTTTATATGTCCTTAAAATCTCTTAAATGCTAGCCCTAAGGGCCAAGCCCATATATTGGTCTTTCTCTAATAGCACCAAAAAGAACATCTACCAAAGCCCAGAGGGCACTTCATAAGGTAATTGATGATTTCTCCAACTCCAAAATACTGACAACAATATCAAGGAAATTTTTCATGCTTTTGAGTCTCTTCTGCCTTCATAGATGGCTTGCCTCTGGATGTCAAAAACCAGATTCGATAATTCATTCAATAAATGTTTACTCAAAATTAGTTCATGAATGCCTAACTGAAAGATGAGAAGCAAAAATACAGGAAGCATACAAAGTTCTGATTTGCAAGCCACCAAACTCAACCCAGGCCAATTTTAAGAGACAAAAAAATATTGAAAAGCCTTACATAGAAGACTGGAGAACCAGGCTCAGAAACTAGGCAGCAACAGAAGAAACAAAAAACTGTTTGGACAAAAACACTGATTCCTTACATCTGATGACTGGATACTGGAATGACCACCATTGCTCCCTCAGCCCCAGATTCTGGAGGCTACTCCTGGCACTGTCGCCCTGGAGACTGGATGTTGCCACCACTTTTTGTTTTGGATTCAAAGTCTGCAGTAGGCATGTCTGATTGGGCTGGCCGGGGTGATGGTCATGCACCCCAGCAGCCAGCGGCTGGGAAAACAGTGATCATTCTTTCTAGTTTCCATAGGAAGAGGTAAAACAAACCAAGTATAGGAAAGAGATTCAGAAGCCAGACAACAAAAATAACTTTATTTTCAGATATACATCTACTTTGATGCATTATGACCATTTTGCACTTCAGATAAATCACCCTAGCAGGGATATTGAGAGTAGATTACAGAGGCAAAATTGAACTTTGAGTTTGAAGACACATATACAACTTGAAGCTAAGGTGGTAAGGAAAGAAACAACGGATTTGAGAGAGTGATGTGATTAACTTGACAGAACCTGGAGAGCGATTGGACTTGATAAACAAAGGAGGGTTGTCAATAACTGCTCTTAGATTTCTGGCCTGAGGGACCACGTGAATTCAAACAGAAAATTTAGGAGTATCAGAAAATTTAAGGAAGATGACAAATATCAGTTAGGGAAATATTAGGTACCAGGTGTATGTGATAGTCTAAATATGGTTATAAATTCCTTGCAGGTCTTTTTAACAAGACATGGAGTCCATTTTCCCACTTTTTGAAATATAGCTGGTCATATGATTTGCTTTGACCTAGAGAATGTGGCAGAAGTAACACATGACTGGCAACTCTTAACCACAGTCGTCTTGCAGTTTCTATTCTCTTCTTTTTGGAGTGTTGTAATCACCTTGTGAAGAAGAAACTAGCTTCTGAGGACTAGAGACAACGTGGAGCAAGAGAGTTCCAGACATTCCAGCATTTTGAGCTGATTTCCCAAATACATGATGATGGGACCCTTCAGGACCAACCAATCCCCAACCAACTCATCAGTTGACTGCAGCCACCTACCAGACCCCAGGCCAGACCAACAGAAGAACTACCTGTCTAACCAAATTACCAGAATCATGAGTGAAGAAATTATTGTTTGTTTAAAGATACTATATTTTAGGGTAATTTACTATATAGCCATAGAGAACTGATCTATTGCTAATAGAATATCTGAGGGGAAACATCCATTTGGGAGTTGGATATGAGTCTACGAGCCCATGGGAGAAGGAATATAACCATTATGATGATCAATACCAAGGACTGCACGAGATGATCCCGCATGAGGTCATATTGTTTCAGTCATGGACAGAGGTGTTAAAGGTTTTAATTTAAACCAATGTTTAATACATGATTAGAGAAAAGAAATCAGTGAAAAAATTGTAAAGAAGTATCCAGTAATGATTCAAGCAGATCCATTAGATTAAGCAACTAGGAAGTAAGTCATGGGTAACTTTGGTGGAAACAACTTGTGTTTTTTGGCATGTTGGTGTAAAAGCCTCTTGGTGATGGAAAGTACAGAAAACGAGATAGTAACTGAAGATACCTCTTTGATAAGAAAAAGTAAAGAAAAAGAGATAGTAAGTGGAGATATCTCTGTGCAAACATATTCATGTGACTAAAAGCAAAAGATAAGGTAAAGTTAGAGTGGGTTTTTCCCCCCTCGAAAGATGGAAAAGATATCTGCATGTTTATAAAATGGCATGAAACTTAAAACATATATTTAAACTATTCAAAGATTTTAGTGATGATGGAAGTCTCTTGAGGAAAACATAGAATAGGGAACAGACCTAATGGTAAAGAGAGCAGCCTTTTTCAGGAAGAAGACTTTTACATCTCTGATCCTGGAATTAGGAATAAAAAGATAACTATCAGAATGACTAATTCCTGGGAATGGGACCAAGGATAGGAGAGATAGGGAGATAGGGCGCAGGAGAGGCACAATCTATAGTGAATTCATTGCCAGGTAGAAGCAGGAAACATAAGTAATTTCTGTCTAAGGTTCTCTATTTTCTTTATAAAGTTAGAGATCATGTACCTTCCAAAAGTGGGCATATATGAAGAGCTAGGAGACTCAAGGAGAGTGGTAAAGATGGGAGAAAACATCTGTGGTTGTTTACTTATGGCCACACAACCTTTGTAGTTCCTAACAAGACCTGGAGTCTGTTTCCGTAACCCTTGAAATCCAGTTGGTCTTATGACTTGCTTGGAGCAATAAGATGCAGCTGAAGTAAATGTGACTGGCAAGTCTGAGAGATCTGAGTTCAAATACTGGCTCTGCCACTTCTTAGCTGTGTGACCCATGGGAAGAGTATTTGCTCATTCATTCATTCTTTCATTGAGCAACTATTTGTTGAATAACAGACTCTCACATGGGGCAGGTATGATGCAAAATATTATATTCAGCTGTGAAAGACAAAAAGTAGCAATATAGCCACTGCCCATTATGGTTTGAATGTTTATGCCCCACCCCCCAATTTATATGTTGAAATCCTAATGCCCAATGTGATAGTATTAGGGGTAGGGCTCTGTGGGGAATGTTTAGGTCATGAAGATAGAACCCTCATGAGTGGAATTAGTACTGTTAAGAAAGAAATTCCACAGAGCTCCCCAAACGCTTCTGCCATGTGAGGCGACATGTCTATAAGCCAGAAGAGATCCTTCATCAGAATTTGTCCCTGCTGGCACACTTTTTTGGACTTCCAGCCTCCAGAACTATGAGATAAATTTCTACTGTGTATGAGTTACCCAGTCTGCAGTATTTTGTTATAGCAGCCCAAGCAGACAGAGACACCACCTTTATGGAATTTATAGTCCTTGGAATATATTCTATGACTTAGTGTCTGTCTGAAAATGTGTCTTAAAACTGTGTAGCAA